TGGGAGTTAGCAACTCGGGTTATGAACAAGGTAACCATACTCATGATTGCTTACAACCCCAACTAAGGTAGGTATACACTTACTTAGTCCCATGAACCTACTTATAGAACCCTTGTAGAAGCCATGTTCGGCCTGTTTAAAAGAACCCTTACTTACTAACTGCCCTCAACCTCCGAGTGCACACGCAGTACTCTGAGGCCAGGGGCTGTTGGGTACGGGCTTCAGGTACCCAGTGCCGTCATCTTCGAAGCCATCGTGACCTTTAGGGCTCACGATTTAAGGGTTTAGGGACCTGAATCAAGGGTAAGTGCCTTCAGGGTAGGATTTAGGATTTGGGGTTCAGGCTTTGTTATGGAGTTGCTTTGCCGGCGAAAGATAACGCTCACCACGGTAGAGGAACAAAAACCCCTGAAGTGAATCCGAAGTTAGAACAACTCAGAAACATGAAGATTCTGTCGCTCTCTATGGGTTCTGAGATTTCTGTGAATGCTGCCGCTGCTCTGATCGACTATTCTCTATGAAAGGTGGGATGCACGCTTCAAGCATCTTGGTGCCGGGGGTTTGGCAATGTCAAGTCTCTCTTTAGGGTACACTGGCCTTCGTCCACAGGCACAGGCATGTTCAGCTTCGGTTCGGGTGCTCAAGGATGTAAACGGACGACGTGCTCTTGTTTTTGAAGCCTGCACACCAAACTTAAACCAAAGCCGCGAACCCCCTCGGACCGTTTCCTCACCGCCGAGAAAATGCCAGACTGAACGCTCCAAGCGCACCCTCTGAGCCTTCGGAGGTCCCTGCAAGTACTTGGAGGTTCATGGGTAGTTATCAGTGGAATTCTAGAGTAGGGTAGCCGTCATTATAACCCATATTAATGGACATATGGGAGTTTCCGAAAATGGGGGACCCTAGTATAGTACCCCAAATAGTATGATCCTTATTATAAGGACCCCCAAATAAGGTACCCCCAATTTTCGGAAACTCCCATATAAGGCCGCTTGTAAATACCCATGAACCTCCAAGTTCGGTTCAGCCTCTCGGCCTCAGAGCTAGGAAAGCAAAGAACATGACCAACTCCAAATCTTGAAGCTTACAGTTTAGGGTTTAGGGGATTAGGGTTTAGGGTTTAGGGTTTAGGGTTCAGGGCTTTAGGGTTTAGGGTTTAGGGTTCAGGGCTTTAGGGTTTAGGTTTTAGGCTTTAGGGCACCCTTGAACCCATTCCTTTCAAAAGCCTGAAGCTTACGAAATTTGCTAAAGCACTGCAACAATAGGCAACAGAGAAGCCCCTACTGAGTCGGGTGCCAATCTAAGCACATCTTCAACATGCCGAGTTGCTCTGAATCGCCTTCTTGAAAGCAGATTAACCGATACATGAACAACACGCTGCGAGAAGCGGTACCACCCATCCCGCAAAAATCAATGGTCCCAGCGGCTCCAGAAAGACTCATCGAAGGTGAACCTGATTTGAGGCGGCTTTTCGTCTTTTGGTTTTCGGCTTGGGGTTTAGGGTTTAGGGTTCAAAAAATTCGAAAACTTCAGAGAGGTTCGGGTACAGGTCTTGTTGAACCCCCCGTCTTCCTTCGGGCAGAGTGGTGGTTTTTCTGCTGGTACTTGGAGGATTATGGGACTTAGTAAGTAAGGTTATAAGTACGTTGATTGGGGCTATAGGTATAGTTACCCTAATTATAACCCTAGTCACTAAGTCCCATGATCCCTCAAGTAGACCCTAAAACCCCCCCTATAATGGAACCCCTATAGATCCCTTTAAAGGAGCCCTTTAAGGAACCCGAGTCACTAAGCCCCATGATCCCTTAAGTATGAGGGCTTCGGGTCTGATGCTCCAGGGAAGTTTCTGGCTTCCGGCCCTCGGGAAGTCTGAGGCTTCGGCTTGCGGAACTGTGAAGTCCGGCTTTAGAGGGTTTAGGGTTTGGGGGTTTAGGGGTTTAGGGTTTATAGGGTCTTAAAGTTTTTTTTTTTTAACCTTCTTTTCCGCCCGCCCCGAAGGTTAGTTGGAACACAAAGTTTTGGGTTTAGGGTTTTATGGGTTTGGGCAAGGTAGGGTTTAAGGGTTCTTAGCGTTTGGCGCTAAGGGTTCATGGGTTTTGGGGGTTTTGTTGACTTCTTCGTTGGGCTTGGGAGATTTGTGGAGTTAGCAATGCGTGGGTCCATGACCAGTGGAGTTTAGGATTGGTGGTTTGGATTGAAGGCTTCGGCGCTCGGAGCTCATGCCCACACCTGTTTTGTGTTCGGCTACCCTGTGGGACAAGTGCGGCCGGTTGACAAATTCATGTGACACACCGTTGCTTCAAACGCGGCCCTCAGCCCTACATACCCGTCCAAACCTAGATGTCTGAAGGCCCTTCAAACCCAACCGAGCAGGTCAGGGCTTTCGGGCTGTGGCTTTTGGGATAAGGCTGAGTCCCTAAACTTGCACCCTACACACTCCCGAACAAGCCCTCAGCCCTAAGGGTTACGCCTGCGTGGAATCTGTCGATGGCAGGGCCCAACAACGGCTGCCATCATGTTTCTACACGTAGCACATGTTGCCTATAAGCTTCCAGGGATTCTAAAATCCTTCCCTAAACCATAAATCGTAAGGCTACATGAAAGTGCATAGCTATGGTCAAACAGCGCTGCCAGGTGGCGTCTTCTCGTCTCCCGTATCCACGTTTCGAATGAGGGTGGTCGGCCCTGGATGTAGTGTGGGTGCAAATATGTATTTGCAATCAACGTATGTCAGGGCTTATAGCGGTTGCAATGTGGGTGGTTGTCAAAATTATGGTCCCTTTTTGCGTCCTTAATATAGTACGGCACCTAATAGTTAGGGTACTCTTTTCAAAAGGGACCCTAATTTTGACAACTACCCATGTACTAAAAAGGTTGCGGGTTCAATCCTACGGGCCTCAGCCATCAGGTGTCAGGGCCCTCTGGGCTTGACGATGGAACTCCCTCTTTCCCAAGCTGAATGTGAGAAAACCTGTTCTTAAAGGATCATGGGACTTAGTAACTGGGTTATGGTTAGGGTAACTATACTTATAACCCCGATTAAGGTACTTACAACCTTACTTACTAAGTCCCATGATCCTCCGAAGCTGGCAATCAGGAAGCTGCAGACTGAAAGAAACTCCGGCCCGGGAGTCGGGAGTTGAATCGAAACGGCACTTGGAGGATCATGGGACTTAGTCAGTAGGGTTATAGGTACCTTAATTGGGGCTATAAGAATAGGTTACTAAGTCCCATGATCCTTTAAGTAACAGCATGGGTTCTGATTCTTGCTTCATGCACACCCCAGCATCGGCAGCTAAGGACACTTTTGCCTGCAATCGTGGGCCCTGAATCAACATGCAGCCCGCCGTACTGTGAATCCTCTCGAACCGACCAGGATATCCAGACATCTCCAATTCTCTCCTTCAAGCCAGCCCCGCGGCCCTCCAAAAAGAAAACTATGAAACCCTGCAACGTTCCGACAGAACCCGGCAACAGAAACACCCTATATAAATCCCAAAGACCTACAGAAACCCACAAAACCTCGTTAAAGTCCTGCAAACCCCTACAGAACCCTGATCGAAACGCTTTGCCTGTCTTTCGAAACCCTAAGCCCTACCCGGGCCCCAAAGAACCTACCCTATGAAAGACCTAAAACAGAAAAAAACACGATAAGAAGGGTTTAGGGTTCAAGGCACGTTCTTGAAATGTCCAAGTCATCTCTTTCCCTGTGCCGACCTTCCATGTCGATGCATTTCACGGCATTCAGACCCCGCTCGCGGTCGTTGAAGGGCCTCACCAGCAATTCGGGTGTTAGTTGAGTTGAGGATTTACGGGACTCTGTGTTTAGGGGATGTTAGGGCTTGTTGTTTAGGTCTTTTTGGGGTTCAAGGAAATAGGATGTATGTTTAGAGGGAATATTAATTTGTGGCTTCGGGGTTTAGGGGGATGGTTGATGTAAAGGCTTTACACAGGGTCTATTAAGGGTTGCGCATGGGCTTGTGCAAGCATTCTAGGCGAATTCGAGGGTTCTGGTTCAGAGTTCAACTCCATGTCCAGTGTCTGGGGTGGCAGCTTGACAACAGGATTTCCGAGGGCTCACAGGAACTCGAAACCAAGCAACCAAAGCAGCAACGGAACTCTTGAATCCCTCAGCGCTGACCCGAAGTTCCTAAACTGGCAGGGCGACGCGGACGTTTGGGAGAGGAGATGAGGTCTCGGGGTTTGGGGCTTCAGGGCTGAGGTTTTTGGGCGGGAGCTCAGGGATTGGGAGATGAGAGTTGGCAGTGGGGCCAGCTATCGGTTGAGGCTTTTGGGTGCTTTGGGCTTAAGTTTCCGAGGTTAGGGTCAACTACGGACTTGAGACTAAAGAACAAATCATCCGAGAAGCCTCACACGGACGCCCACAACCACGGCTTCAGCAGCTTCCATTGCATCGCGAAGCGGACCACAAGAAGAGGAGCGAGAGGCCGCTGCTACAAGTTGGGCACAGGCGAAGCCCAAAGCCCTGAACGGTTTAGGGCTGAAGGTTTTGGGGTTTGACCCCAACCCTGAATTCAACCCTAAACCCAGAACCCATCAATCCAGCAAATGCTCGGTATGGGCTGCAAGCGCGAGATTTCGAAGAGCTGTGGCCGGGTGGGGATCGCGGCTACTGTTAAAGTTAGTAAAGTAGAATATTATGTTTTAAAAATGAATATACATATGGTATCATCAAGTATGATCAAGTGCAATGTCGTACAATATATGGCTCAGGACTTGAGCTGCCACTCTGACTGCGCCTTCTGCCAAGGAGTTTCGGCGTGCTTCCCTGGATGCAAGCAAATGCTCCCCAGAAGTCTTTGCCGAGGTCTGGGGTATTAACACAAGTCGGCCATGAAGGCAGGAGCCTGTGCATCCTGTACATTCTATATACTGAAGTCAACAACAGTGCACACTGTACACGATCTGATGCACTAGAGTTGAGACAGATGAGAAAAAGATTGTGATGACACGCCCTTTGACGTGTCAGTTGAACCGGTTCAATTTGAAGCAAGCGCTTGCTTAATATCCAGACTGCGGGGCACTAGCCAAACAAGCGGGCCCAGGAAAAGGCACGCGGCGCCAGAAAACATCAAAGAGCTGACGAAGATGACATATCGGTAGCCACAAAGATCTGCCAAGTATCCGCCCAGAAGGGCTGTGCCACTCCAGCCGACCATGCTCAGGGAGAGCACAGCATTCCATTTCCCTCGATGAGCAGAGGGAGTGAAATCCGCAATGATCGCGTCCAGCAAAGGCTTGAAACAGTTGCCCAGGCCACGTCGAAGTAGAAAAAACGCTGAAAGAAGCTCCGGTGGCAAGTCGGCCGTGAGAAGGAAGGTGCAGCCGGTGGACAGCACGACTGCGCAGAACATGGTGAGAGATCGGCCAGCGTGTTTCGCCACTCGTTCGGAGGCTTGGCTGCACAGGGCACCTGCTAGCGAGGCTGCTGCCTCCAGCAAGTAGATACCTGGGTTCTTGTTAAGAGACTTATCCTAGGTTATCTTAGTAGGGATCTATAGTAAAGAACAAATGGTTTCCATATTACGGTAACTTAAACAAAACCCTTAACAAGAGCCCAGATACTCGTCATGGAAAGCTGGACTTCGTTCGTAAAGAACAACACGAAGAACTGTGCTGTAAGTCCTGCAGTTGCAGTCGACGTGAGGAAGAACGTAACGCAAAGGCACGGCACCACCCCAGAGAATCGAGGCCCCCAAGGGCGTTTCGACTCGTTCGGATCTTCCTGGAGCTTTGGGAGCTCCGAAGGCTCCGGATCCGCCATCCGAAGGATGGCCATGGACACCGGCACCATGAGGGAGAGCCCACACCACAGGCTCAGCTTGAGGCACCAGATCTCATCATGCGGTAGCTGCATCACCAGGGCGGCGAGCAGTGTGGCAGAGGCAGAGCCCACGAGCCGGAGGATCCAATTCTTCACGAAAGCAGGTGCGCGCCCACCCTTGGCTAAGGAATCCGTGAAAATGCTTCGCCAGGCACTGCCTGAGAGCTCCTGAAAAACTCCCAAGAACAAGGCCATCGGTGCTACGAACATGAGCTCATCCGTCAACAGGAGAAGGCTGCCAGAGGCAACAGCGGCAAAACCAGAGATCGCGGAGTATCGCAACGGATGCACCCTGCGATCTTTAAAGCGGTCCACCAACCATCCCACTGGAGCTGCAATGAGCAACTTTACCATACCATTCAGCCCCACCAACACTCCTACAGAGGAGTTGGGGTTGCTTGCAGGAAGGAACCACGGACCCTTTCCAGCACCAGCTGCGAGCCTAAACAGGTAGATGGTGAAGACTGGGCCCAAGAGGAGTTGCTCCATCAAGCCGGAAAGCAATGATAAAACATGGGAGCTCTGGATGTTCCTCCTGCGCTTGCAAGCCTCTGCTTCTGCCTCTTCCCCCACAGCTGCTGATCTCGCGGGATTGTTGCCTGCTGTCGCCATGGCTAGTGCAGCTAATCCCTGCTTGTTTCTGGATTTGTTGAGACATGGCTACGGGGCAAGCATTTGGAAAGCCCGGGAGGCCCGTAAGCGACGCCGGAGCACGAACAAACCAACGCGATGATCTTACACATGTGAGGTGGAGATTTTCGCTGCAAGATCTCAACTCAGCATCAATCCTTTGCCATGAAAATCAAGTCTGAAGTCACACCTCCCTGCAGACCAGCCCAGGGTTCAATCCCGGTGAGGTCCACGCAAGTCGACATCGGGCGTGCTCAACTCATGCTGTGTCGTGTGCCGTTTGCCGAAACGCTGGCTAGCCAGCACATGCTCTTTCAGTTGCAGCTCATTTCCATTTTCCTCGAAAACACAACAGTCGTTGTTGCTCCGGGATTGACAGACGTGCTTGCTTGTTCTTGATAATAGATGGTATTGAACGAACTGCCTATTATCTCGAATGTTTTGCGAATGAAAAAAAGTTTGATTCGAAAACAACATGTGTTGTGTTTCATCCTCACATGTAAATTTTGTTGCCGCTTTTGATGGCAATGTGTGTGGAGCATATAATCACCATGTGTGTGTGTGTGTGTGGGCTTTGCAGTTGCTTAGTGTCTTTACTTCAACAATTTATCTGTCCTGCGTTCAGACAACACAGCTGAGCAAACAGCTTCCAAACGGTCACAACCATGCCAAACGCACATACGTGCGTCTCTTGCCCAATTGAGCTTCAGATTTGTTAAAGCCCTGCGAACAAGCATCGTGGCACTTGCTTTAAACGAGCTGCCGTACCATAACCCTAAGCGAACCACTTGCTTTAACAAACAAGTTGACAAACGCCATGGCACAATCAAGCATGCTTTACACTTTATGAAATTCTTGAAAACAGAACTTCTATGGTTTTATCACAATAAAGTGCGTGCAAGTCAAACCCATCCCACCAACCACCCCTTCTCACCAAGGAAAAGGTTTCCCCAAAGAACGGCAGAAACAAGATAAATGCTCATGTCAAAACAATCCAATATCTTTCCGAACAAATCCACCGAGATTCGAAACCGATTGACATGACAAGCATCTTTCCACAGTGGCTCGACCCTTTGCAAAATCTGGAAAGCGCAATGGCCCCTGCTCACACTTCTTTTCTGGCTGGGAGGCTAAGGCTCTCGGGTGCTCGAAGAGCCTTCGCTCAGATTCGAAGCTTCCAGCATTTTTCCGATTGCGTGGACTTCTAGAAGCGCGCAGTGTCACAAGAGCTCTCAAGGGAGTCCGAGAGATCTGAAAAAGTGGACGTTCGAGTTGCTGTGCCGCATTCACTTGTTCCCGCATTGTTTCACAGCATTTCAATTGTTTGTATGCTGAGTGCGCAGTAGGCGATGCAATGAGAAAAACACAAGTGCGTGCGAGTCAAACCCACAACCCACCAGCCACCCCCTAAGCACCACCAGGTACTGTGGCAGGAGCAGATATTTCAAAAGCCCAGAGGCGGAAAATCAAGATATATAAAAAATCCGGAGTCCAATATCTTTCATATGGAATTGATGCAGCAGCACTCAACGGAATGACATGAATGTGAACATGCTAGCCGCTGTTACGCAAAGTCGGACATCTCTCATTTTTCCCGAAGGATGGATCGGAGTTCCCATTCGGCGAAGAGCACATCTATGACCGTAGCGCTTTAAGCGAAAACGGTCCACCCTTGCATCAAGATGCATCGAGATGTGCCCAGCACCAGGGTTGGGAGGGTGGGAGCTTCAGAACTCACCACTTGACCCTTGTGGCTACAAGTGCAAATCATGATTGTCATGATGCATCAGCCCAAAGTAAAATGATGCTCTCAAAGGTACAAAGAAATTAATTCAAAATCTTGGGAAAACAAAAACCTTGTTTTCTTTTCCCGAAGCGACGGTACATCAAATGTACCGAGAACACGTGGGTTTGAAGGGCACGCACACTGACGCAACAAGTCGCGAACGCGTGCGTGCGAGTCAAACCCACAACCCACCAGCCACCCCCTAAGCACCACCAGGTACTGTGGCAGGAGCAGATATTTCAAAAGCCCAGAGGCGGAAAATCAAGATATATAAAATCCGGAGTCCAATATCTTTCATATGGAATTGATGCAGCAGCACTCAACGGAATGACATGAATGTGAACATGCTAGCCGCTGTTACGCAAAGTCGGACATCTCTCATTTTTCCCGAAGGATGGATCGGAGTTCCCATTCGGCGAAGAGCACATCTATGACCGTAGCGCTTTAAGCGAAAACGGTCCACCCTTGCATCAAGATGCATCGAGATGTGCCCAGCACCCGAGCACCGCCGAAGCCGAATGTATCCGAAACTCACCACCTCGTGCGAGGCTTCTTCCGACTGGTGGCCTTCGCCACCGGATGCCTCTTGTTGTGCGCCGCAGCCTTCGCTGCAACAAGCTCACCATGAAAACCATTTGCCGACTTCAAGAGGTCTCCCAGAATGATCCAATCAATCTGGTCGCCCAGAATCTCCAACCTCTTTGAGGGATCAAAACGATCGAATCGAAGATTGGTGAGATCGTCCGCCCACACGTTAGATTCCCTAGGAACCCATGACAAGTCAAGAGAGAGGTTCATCCCCCGTAGCGTCTCCGAGAGCTCCATCAGCAGCAAGGGCAGAGGATACCGTGTTGACATCAGTTTGGATACTGCATAGGAGTTCCCTTGATTGTCCGTGCCACAGGTGATGTGGCCGCATCCCCCACCACTGCCCTTCATCTTGGCGCCCCAAAGTTTGACGCAGATGAGAGTGCCCAAGAGTTCCAGACTCGCAATGGTGCGCTTCAGGTCCCCCTTTACGTAGGCCCACGGTGCCCAGGATTCAAGGACCTCCAGAGCGAACCACTGCAGTGCCGATTTCCCGTCCCACAAGTAGCCGCCGATCCATGCGCGGTCCTCCTCGGCCTTGGCGTCCGAGTAGAAGCTGAACTTGTTCATCCCCTTTTGGAGCCGCTCCGGAGGCGGTTCCTGGAGCCGGTCCTCTCCCCGGAACCTCCCCGACATCCAATGGAGAATTGTCCTTAACATGACCGGGATCTTGAGAAGCCCTCTGCTCCCCCGCGTGGCCGCCGACCAGGAGTAAAGAGGACCGAGGAACGGTCTCTCCCAGGAGAGGGCGTTCGCTCCAAATCCCAGTCTGCCCAGGCCGCATGCAAAATCATCCCAAGTCACGCTGCCCTCTCGAGAGATGCGCAAAGTCCAGTCAGCGAGCCAGGTCGCCCGTTGCAACGAGATTCCCAGCCGGAAAGAGCTGTAGGATGTCTCATAGCCCACCCATTGGACCGTCAGTCCCCCTTTTGTCTTCGACCACTTGAAAGGGAAGCCCAATGCAGCCAGGAGGGCGTATGAGAGGACAATGCCGCTTCTTCCCGCCTTGTCGCCCCCGATCATCTCCACGTCGTCGGCGTACAAAAGGATCTCCAGGGCTCGCCTTCCAGTCAAGTGATGGATGAGCCTGATCGAACCTCCAGAGAGTCTCGCCCACCAATAGCCCGCGCAAGCGAGGCCGAATGTGCCCACGCAGTTCAAGTAGACGATGGTGTCCCCGGAGGAAGCTTTGCAGCCCAAGTACCCCCACTCATCCCGACGGTGCCGGTATCTCCTGTGTGCCTTCGCGATGTCGCCGGTGACCGCCATCGGAGCCATCCGCTTCTCCTTGAGGCGGCGCAGCAGGCATCTCTTCTCCCGGGCTCCGGGAGATCTCACTTTGTCAAGACAGCGGATCCTGTGGTTCAGCAACACGTCATGCGATGCATCATGTACTATACGCTGCTTTAGCGGCGGGCCCTCTTCAGTGAGCACCGCGATGGCAGAGATCGCCGCCTCCTCTCCATACGTAGCCCAAAACTCGGCCTCCCCCATCCGGACCATCAAGCCTTCCTGCACTTCTGCTTCGAAGTGCTCCCTGACAAAGTCCAGGTTCTTCTCGGCCGACTCATAGTTGGCCTTCCATGACTGGGCCACGTCTAGAGGGCCCACCTCCAGCTTCCATTTAGTCTGCGGCTCGAAGACCTCCGGCGTGCGCGGCAAGGGGCGCCATCAATCGCCTCCACGAAGACCTTCCAGTCCATCTCGAAGAAGGCCCGCCAGCAGCCTCAACCGGAATGGTTGTCCTGGGTCGATGGTTCCCAGATCCTTGACATCGAAGCCCTTTGCCCCGAGATGGGCCACCATGATCGCCACGAGCTTCTCATGCAGCGTTGGGTCGGAGACCAGCTTGCACCCGCTCATCCCCCGCGTGCTCCAGCAGGGCCTCCTCGAGCTGCTTCCGCAAGATGTCCCAGCCCTCGGCCGCACAGTATCGACGCCGCTCGGGATCCCAGCGCCCCGGCGAGCAAAGGCCCGCCCCATCGTGGAAAGGCCGGCTCCCCCAGGGCTCGTGGCACACCCGCGCCGGCTCGTCGCCACCCGGCACGGGTGGCCATGTTGGATCTATTTCCGGCTCTGCCCCACCAGACAGCTGCCCCGAAGGCAGGACGAAACTTCGCTCCATCAAGATCTTCTTGTCCGCCGGCACGAGCTTCTCGGGGTCCTCGATGGTGTAGCCGGCCAGCACCAGCCTGGTTCCAGTCCATGGTTCCGTCGTGTGCCACTGCTGCGCATTGAAGGTGATCCTTCCCTGCTTCCACTCCCGGACAGTGCCTCCCACGTTCCAGCCTTGCCGCCATCACCCTCGCCAGTAATTCACTGCTCCAGCGGAAATCCTGCAGGTTTCGGGGGAGACCCGCCTTCCCCTCGTGCACATAGCCACCCGTCGTAAATGATCTCTGTCCCTCCACGCGGACCTCAGACTTGCGGATCCTGGACTCATCCGGAAGGCTAGCCGAAAGCTGGAGCAGGCCCTCCTCCGTGATGAAGCCTTTGCGAAGGGCCTCCAAAGCCAAACGGTTGGCCTCTCCCAGTGTTCCCTTTGCTTCCGGACGCATCGCTGCTGAGGGCTCGAAGCGAAAAATGATCTCCCCCGCGTCATCTCTCG